AGGGTTTAAGTGTTAGGGTTTAGGAGTTAGGGTTTCGGGTTGAAGGTTAAGTAAGGCCTAGGGTTTTAGATAAAACGGATCGGGGCTTATGGATCAATGTTAAGTTCAGGCGGCTTCAGGGTTGAGAGCTTTCATTCTTGGAGGGTTTGGATTCAGAGACTGACTCTCCAGGTCCTTCCTTAAGGACTGCATGGGGATTTGCTGTGTTTAACGCTGCTGTACCACATGATCATCTTCATCATCATCAAAAACTCAAAAAAACATGAATCACAAACACGGCCGAACCGCTTAGGAAATCAGCATGATAGTCAGACAAACACGACAATCCAGTAAGAAACAAAAATGTGGATGAGCATAGTCTAAACTCATAGTATCCCTCCTTAATACCGCCCCTCTAAGGAGTTCAGACTATAGGTCATATGATCATGCCGATCATGCCAATAGACCAGCGCGATGAGGAAAAGACGTCGTGGTACCAGCACGGATGAGAATTACAAGTAATCTAGGGTTTCCAATTTGGGCTTAATGATGGCAAGGTGGGTTTCGAACTGCATGCTTAAGTTGACATGTCAGACTTGCGTTCTACAGAAAACGCAGACATGTTTTCAAAGACTGAAAAAAACTCAGATCACATGCAGTAATCCGGCAAAAATTGGAGTTAACCGTGCTCTAGATAAGGTGCCCAAACCATCAAGCCCCGAACGCTCCTAAAACCAAAAAACCAAGCCCAAGTGGAAGTTTCCGGTCCCTTTTTGGGATACCTCTACCAATTGGGAATAAGGGATGCCTGTTTTTTTAATGCCTAGGTAGGGTCTAGGTTTCAGGTTAGGGATCAGGGCTAAGGGCCTTCGATAGCTAGGAGTCTTCAGCAGCAAGGCTGCCAGCTCGCGAGAGTGCTGGGTCAAGCACAAGGCCTCATCCAACTCCACCACAGCGTCGCCTCGAATGCCGGGAATAAGGCTTAGGAATCTTAAGTCTAGATCTATAGATTTGGTGTCCAGACAGCGGCACTCGGATTCCACAAAATAGCACTGTACATTTCTACGTAGTGCTCCCATAACCGTCCACATCATAATCTGTGCGGAACTCCTACGGCAATCCCTCGACAAGCTCCAAGCGCCTTGACGTGCGCAAGGATTCTAAGTGTTCACGTCTACATCATATGATACAGTAGTCCAGGTTTCCGGATGACGATGTTGAAGCTTGAAAGAAGTTTGAAGCCGCAACCCCCAAACATTCAGCTTGAACCCGCTCCTGGAATCTCCTGCATCACTCTGCAGACTCTTGTCCTAAACCCTAACCCCTCAACCCTTGGAGAATCTTGCGAACAAGCTTCACATCAGCCGCAGGAGGGATTGGGAAGCGCCTGTGTAGTGTGTCCGAGGAAAGCCAACTTGGGCAACTTGAGCGTCACTGTAGGCGGGGAGGTTGTGTGTGGGGAATGTGGAAGGCAGGGATGAATCATGTAAAGGGCTTAGGGTTTGCAATACCGCTACCACCACCATGGCTGCTCCTGCGGCTAGTGATACTGCCACATGGGCAGCAGCTGCTGCTGCCGCCTCCGCGAATATTGCTGCTGCTGATGCTACCACTGCTGCTACCATTGCTGCTGGTCTTCCTTGACTGCAGCTAAAACTACTGATGCTACTAACTACTCCCACCACCACCACCACCGCCGCCGCCGCCGCCGCCGCCACCAACCCCACCAACCCCAACACCACAACGGCCGCTGCTACTGCCACTGCTCTATCACCGATACACTGCTAATGGGGGACGTTGCAAGATTTGATGCTGATGTTCAAGTCATCAACACCATTGCAAAGGTTCCAGAAGAGTTGGGGTCGCTGCCTCTCGGGGTCCTCGCAGCAGGAACATCCCAGTTACTGTGCATACCTTTGGGACCCTGCAGTTCTGGGAAACACCAAAACAGATTATCCATGTCATGAGCTTGAAGGCCCAATTGAGATTCTTTTGGCTTCCTGCTAACTTCTGCCAGTACTCTCCACCTATGCCGCGGTTGAGGATTTATCGTTAAGGCCTCCATTAACCCTGTATCCTTCACCCAAAAAAAGAGATGGCACACACAAAGACAAGCACGCAATCCGTAATTAGCTTTCAAAGCTTAGAGATGCTATCTTGTCGAGGCCACCTATAGGTGAAAATGGCCTTCTTTAGTTGCAGCGTGCGCAACCCTAAGACTTAAACCCTAAAAAAGGCCCTAGACCCTAAACCTACCTGCTTTGGGTTGCTGATAAAGGTGGATCTCCAACTCTGACCCATACCTGTCAACATCTTCAACACATTGCTAAACTTAAGAAAACATCGAGTTGTTTTTGAATCCCTTGCATCACCTAAAGCTAGACTGCTTGAGTTCCAGGCTTAGGTGGGTCGTCGCATAATCCCGTTGCAGGTCCATTTCCACCTTGCCCACTGCAGTGCAGAACAAGCTCCACTTCTGTAACGCTTTCCACTTCGGATCAAAAAAATGACGAACGATCATCTCCAACTAGATCCTAGACTTAAGACCTGGGCCCCGCATCCGAAACACCAAAAAATGCTCTAACACTGACCCAGCGTACGCGACGCCACAGCATGCTCTGCAAAGCGACAGCAGCAGCGAGAACTATAGCACCTGGGCTCAGCCGCATAGCAAGCGACTTTCATACCCCATCTTCTGGGCTGGCCCCTAAAATCCTCTGAAAAATACTAGTATATAGGGACCCTTATTAAAGCCATTAGGGAAAATATTAAAATATTCCAGGGGCCTACCCAGTCTTTAATGAAAGTATTTTTTTGGTAACCCCAACCGCCAAAATTAGGACCCTATGACTACCATATGATGATTATAGGGTCCTAATTTTGGGGGTTGGGGTTACCAAACTCCCCTTATTAATCTTGGGAGGACCTGTTCGAGGTCCATAAGGAGATGTCGGAGTACTCTTTGCAGGGAGGGAGCTATAGGGATTTGGAAGGTGAGGGGTCAAGGGTGTATTCACGGTTTCGCGTTTTAGGGTTTGGGGGGATTCTCAACTGAAATCTCACGTGAATCAGGTAGTGGTTCGTCAAAATGGGAATTCCCTCAGAAGGACTCACCTATTCTACGGCTCTCGAGTTGATGGCAGCAGCTTTGTATGCGTCATTTTGACAAAATCCTCTTGCATGGTGGGACGGAAAAGTATGGTCTCTCACCGTCTCTGCTTACTGAGTTCTGGGGCATGACTATCCCCAATGAGCTTCTGTTTTTGCGACCCATGGTTTTTGGACATGCCAATGTGTGGAGTCCTAGTGTCAAGGTAACGAGTATATACGACAATAGCAGTTTATAGCTTGGCCACCGTAAAAACCAGATGAAGATGAAACAAGGCTTGAAAAAACAAATTGGACTGCCCTTCCGTCACGTTTAGGGCAGAAGAGTTTTAAACACTCCCCGCAGAAGGTACCAACAGGCAGAGGCTCTCGAAAATCTCGACAGGCCGAATAATTAAAACAGTTTCCAAGAATCTCTCAACGTCAGGAAGCCTTGATCACTTCCTATTCAGTCGTTGAGAATACTGGGTTGGCCCCCAAAACCCTTTGAAAAATGTTAGTATATAGGGTCCCTACCGGCAGGTACGTACTGAGCTTGGCAAATGGCCCTATGAATGATGAACCTGCACACCGAAACCCTAAACCCTAAAATCCTCCAGGAACCTCAAATTCCCTTCCCAGGATTTGAGCCATTTGCTTGTTTGGAAACACAAATGCTGTAAACCCCTCAACCTCAAACCATGCAACCCTGAAACCCTTAAGCACATGGTTTAGGGTTTAGGGCTTTCAGATACCAAATACCCAGGACCGAAAACCTGGCAATCGCGCAGCAAGACCATCCTGCAACATGACACATCACGATTACCAGCTCTACTACCCCCAGCCTGCTAGCATCGCAATTATCATGACGATGATGACGATTCTTAGTATTGTTTCTATTGCCCTTCCTGCAGGTTGTGAAAACCTAGCACATCTCTTCAACTAGCGCGAATTGCCACTCCAATCACCAACATGACTTTAGAAAGTTCGCAAGTCCTTGTAAGAAGCACCTGGAGCTTAAACTTCACACCATCGGCCCAACCCTCGAGCCTGACCTGAGGAGGGCCAGCGCTGAACCCTACCCGACTCCCTGCAATCCTGAACCCACAAAACCAAGCCTTTAAGCCCCTAATCAAAAAAGAACACCTCCATCCTTGAACCCTGAAAACCCAAAACCCTGTAACCCCCAACTATATGAGCCATAGTCTAAACTCCTAGTATCCCCCTTAATAAGCCCTATAGAACTCCCATATATAATCCCCTATAAAGACCCCCTTTAAGGAGTTTAGACTATGGCTCATATAACCCTAAACCGTCTGGGCGCTGGAGGACAGCTCCGTCCAAAGGACCACGTTGAGGTGGCCGTAGCGTCCCAGCACTTCGGTGCTTGCCCGCATCGCCATCACCTTTGCTGCCCCTAGGCCTAGGGTTTAGAGTGTAGCTTGTAGGGGCTTGGGATTGAGGGTTTGGGATTTTGCGTGTAGGGTTTAGGGCTTAGGTTGTAGGGTATGAGGTTTAGGGGGAGAAGCAAATCGGAAATTGATGTGGGAAATGAAATGGAAAGTGGCTTTCTTGTTGGAGATTCAAGGCTAGTTGAAATAGCGCTATAACGGTTCCACACAAAGTAATAACTGTAGCTGGCGCACGTATAATAACTTATGAATCTCCAAGTAGGGGCCCCCCAACGTCGATAAAATGGTTTCGGATCTAGGTTTGGGCCTTCACAGGTTCAATGCTCGTAAGGTACTATCTTCAGAGGGTTCACGAGTTCCAAGAACCAACTGTTTAATAGGTAGGCATACCGGTTCCTGGCATTGTGGCACCACCGTTTAGGATTTAGGATGCTAAATGTTCCGCAAGTGCAAGGATCTTCAGGGCTGAAATTGTTTGTCAATTTGGGAATTGGCTGATGTACGGGCTGAGGGTTTGCTAACAGCATACCAATACACCAAATTCGCTGTGGATCCGTTTCTCGTTGCCCCATCCTTGGAGAACTTCTGAGAGAAGGAAACTACTCTAGGATACACTACTTACACCTTCAGGGTCCCTGAGCCCTTATGGAAATTGCCAGTGGGAGATCTGCAAAGAATTTTCCCAATTCCAGGATGCTCACTGGAGTGAAGACCTCTACTTGTCTCAATCTTGTTACCATTAACGTACTGGTTGTTACCGTTACCACCACCACCACCACCACCAACACCACCAACACCACCAACACCACCAACACCAAGCCGCCCCCACTACCACCACCACCACCACCACCACCACCACCAACACCACCACCAACACCACCAACACCACCACCAACACCGCCACGCCATCACGACGACGACAACAACGATGACGATCATCGATGATGATTGTTGCTAGAAATATTGTGACGACTACGGGCCAGAGTTTGGTGCTTTAACAAGTTGCCCCCAATCCCAAAAGCCCTGCCGAAGCCTGACACCATGAAATCTTAACCCTGCATGAATGCAATGCAAAGTCACCACCAAGAAGACCATGTTCATGGCCAGCACGAGCGACAGTCTTGTGCACAACAGCAAGAAGGGCAGTCGAAAGAACAGCACCTTGCTTGGATTGCCAAGGTCTCGTCAAGATAGTAGGAGAAAGACCATCCAAAGCAGAAATGAAAGGATGACATGTACACCTATCACTACCACTGTCGTTCCTAGGATGATGTCCACTGTGATTGCGATTATCTAAACACTTCAAGCCTGGGCGCCAGAATGAAAGAGAAGCTGTAGACTTGCTCTGATGGGGTGTGCCAAGGTGAGAGGAATGCAGCAGCCAGCAACATGTAGAAGGCATAGAAGAGATTCAGCGTAGACGCATTCAACATGCAAGGCACCAGGACATAGACCGTTGAGAATGCAAAGGAAAACACGTTTGTCCATGTGGTTGCTGGAGACATCCACCTTTCTTGCCCTGCAAAGGCAGTCTGCTGCATGGAGATCACTGTGCTGAGGCTGAGGAAGGCGAAGGCATACAAGAGCTTCTGTCCACCTTTCACCCGCCGCTTCAACACCTTCGAAGCTTCATGGGGCTGCCGAAGGAAAGCCGCACCGCCACAATACGAACTGCTACCCCTATGTAGACCCGTATGAACAACCTAGCCTATTCTCCGCAAGAGACCTCATCAGCATTAGAATCAGGAACTCATGGCAACTTGCGGATCCCACGCCTGGAAACCACCAAGCATTCCCCAACTCCGAAGTCCGCATCACCCAAACCTGAACCCCCTATTCTACGAAAACAGTGCCAAAAAAAAAAACGTAAACCCTAAACCCTAAAGGGTGAATTTCCTCATGGCCTCAAGCTCTGCATGGTGTTCCTTTGCAGTCGGGGTCTTGCAACAAGCAGAGATGGCTGTTCTGGTTGTCTGCTGCAACCTCGATCATAAGCAATTTTGTCTCAAGATTTTGGGCTTAAGGTGTAGGAACTTAAGGGTTTGGATCTTGCGCTCTTTGGAACAAGCATGGTTGACACTCTAAACAGAGCCTTGCTCCGTGTAAGGTTCTTACTCTACACAGCATTTCAATACTCCTGTTAATGGAGAACTCTCAAAGCAGGCCTAGCAACCAAGTCCAGGGAGTCATATTTCTGAAGTTGCAGTGGCCACACCAACTCACAACCTGAACCAACAGCTTCAAAGCAAAGACTGCCTGCAGCGTGGCCGAGACCACCATGAATGCGGAGGCTTGTGCCATGGTGCAGAAAGTCCGTCGAGAAATCTGATTTATTGTGGGAACTCGCTCTGTACAATTGTTGATCCCAAACAGCTGCGGATGAGCACAAAACTGCTTCATGCAGTGACAACGTAGTCTTGAGCTGCAGACTCCCTGGCTTTCGAGATGGATTGCAGCTCATCTCATGACACAATTGACCCCACGTAAGGCTGCTACATGCTTCTGTCAAACTTGATCCATGATCCATGGGTTAAGGAATGAGGTTGGGACTCCAGGAAGATTGCTGATCAGGCAACGAGCAAAATGTCTTCTTGCATAAAATCTATCAACCCCACAGCAAGGGGTGGGAGAAAAAGCTCTGCTTTCGTGCAAAAGCCGAGAAGTTCGTGCAATCTCTCAAAGACATGCCGCGATCCCTACAACGCCCAGACCTGTTCTGAAAATGTAACGAACCACTAAACATCCAAACCAGGCAGCCGTCAAATCCGGTGCAACGACCATGTCTGCAGCCGTCAGCCGCTCTCCTTGCGGCTTCTCTGTGAAGAGGGGGGGGGGTTTCTCAACACAGCGGTCCACCAGGGACCAAGGGGGGGACATTGGGACTGCAAGAGAATTTGGGTCCCTGTTTTTGACTCTACAAGGTGAATTTTGAAAGAACCCCAATACAACCCAAAAAAACACTACATTATATAACCCCAATATAGCCCCAATATAACCCAAAAAAATCTATAAACCCTATAGAAACCCAATATAACCATGATTTGGTCACAGGAATTGCATCAAGCTCTCACACTTTCATGGGCGTGAGGGTGCAGGCAGCTGTTGGGCCGTCCCAAGGCGTTAGGAAGAGAATCCACTTCCCCCGACCCCCAAAAGGATCTAAAATTACAGTCCCCCTAAAGTAGATAGAACATGGCTTTGGGTATATTATAGTAAGAACCCCATTTATCCCTTACTCTACCTACTTCAGTGGGACTATTTGGGGTAACTACCAGATAAGGACCATCAGATCATGGAAGGAATATCTACTACTAGGAAGGTGAGGATATCTGCTACTAGGAAGGTAAGGGAGCTTCACTATTCGGGAGAGGAGGATTCACATGGCGGGGCCCTGTATTGCTTTGGCGCAAAGCCTCTTTTTGTCAAAGGAGAGCTTGATTTCTCATCCTACGCACTGCCCCTGTATCCATAAAGCTTGGGTACTGCCCCACCCCAGTAACAGTCGATATTAGGGGTCCTATTAAGGGCTATATATAACCATATTATACTTATTATCCAACTGTTACTGAGGGGGGCAGTACCCAACATAAAGCATTCTTCAATTCGTGGCGCGTCCTGGGTACTCAGCACAACTACCTTGATAGCACGGCGAGCTTGCGCACTGCGATGATTTGGCGAAGTTCCCATGCTGCAAGATTCGATTAATTCGTTTCAAGGAGCTTTGAGCATTCCAACAAGTATATGGGGGATTGTCAAAATTATGGTCCCTTTTTGGGTCCCCTAAATAAGGCCCCGTCTTAGGCCCCGTATTATCATAGGGACCCCAAAAGGGACCATAATTTTGACAATCCCCCATATAACTACCGCGTAGAGTTTTGCCCAGATTGCTGTTCCCCCGGTGGAGAAAACCCAGAGGAACACCCACATCAAACCCAGAACCTGAACCGAAGGACCCGTAAAACAGGCGAGCTCTCTATCGTGTCCTTACCGAACTCAACCCCAAAAGCCGCAACCCAGACCGACCCAGGACCGCACCCCCCCCTGAAGCATCCTGACTCCAGCCAAGGTTCCCACTAGGAAGGTACCGGTGCCCAAGAAGTCCTGTTTGTTCCAATGTTCACAGTTTGGGTTAGGGTTTAGGGCTTAGGGTTTACGGTTTGGGCAGAAGGGTCTAATGCTTGGTTTGGAGGGACTCTGACACTCCTCCTAAACAGCAACTGGCTTTGCGAAGCCCATGATTTCATGTCAAGCCTTCTCAAGGTGTTAGCACTAGGAAAGGCATAACCCCCCGGGCATAGCATTCTTTAATCTCCGCTGGACTTCTTCCGATACGCGTCGGCAGGTCACTTGCTCGTTTTGATGGGGCAAGCTGCATTTCTCCACATCACCGAGCTAGATTGGTGGCATGTCGGCGTAGCGTGGTTATTGTTCGTACTATAGTTATGAGGATGATTATGATCAGTAATCTTATGTCTGCAGCGGCTATGCTTTTCCATGTCAGGGGATGCGAAATCATCTTGGCTTTGCCGTGCACGGTATTTTGGCCTGCCTGACAACTTCTACAATGTACCACAACAACTACCACAACTAAGGTAGCTTACACACACGTCACCAAACCCTTGTCCAGCGCAGATTGACCTGAATACACCGCCGAAAAATAGAAGCAAAAACATGTGAAAATCTGCAACTTGTGTGTTTCCAGACTTTGCGTGTCCTCTAGCTGCTGCAGCGACTCCGCATAGGCACCTGAGGATTTCTTAGCATTCTGGATACCTTGTTGGGGTCATTTCGACGAACCTTCCAACTTTGTGACGAACCAACACATGTAAGGAAACTACACAATCCTTAAGGAAGCAGTTGGGATCCTCATACGCCGGCTTTTCCACACGCCTCGTATAGGCCCTCGATCATCCATGTGTCTATAAATATATGAATATGAATTTATACACATATATCAAAAGGGTGCCTAGCCCAGTCAATTGTTGTAGCCGGTATGCCCCAAGGTTCGAGGATCCCAAAGCTCCCGAAGTCTTCAAACCAAAAAACTCGAACCCGCAAACCCCAAACCTTTAGCCCATAACCCTAAGGATCAAGTCTTAAAAGCTACAAACTTCAAGCAAAATCTCACGCGCCAAACCTTGCGTCTTAAACCCCAAGTGCTACGCCCCTAGACCCCTACCCTTGAACCCCAAATTTTCAACCCCAAACCCGAAGCCCGAAATCTTCAACCCTACATCGCACACCGTTTTGCAAGAACTCGTACCTCTAAGTGCGGCCGCCTCATCCTCGCTGGGTCGCTTATACTCGGCCTCGCCCCGATAAAAGGGGAAGTAGTACCTGAGTAAATATTGAATAAAGAAAAACTTTGGAAAATGCAGCGGAAAGTGGACTTGATGTACGGTTCATATTTGTTGTCCGGGCTACTGGCCATTGGACAATTGGTGAATGTGAAATATGATCGTTCTTGGTGAGAGCGCTATCGTTTTCAGTCAGAAACCTTCCGCCACGAATCCAATGTCAATCCTGTACATCTCCTGTGACCGACAAAAAACTGCGCGTCTTTTGGGGTTCAAGAGCTAGGCACCAAAATCACGGAACACAAATTGTCATGAAGGGTACGTAGGGCTTCTCCAGCCAATCCCGCAAGTACTGGTTTTGGAGCTTCGCTACCAACCTCACCAAGCCCGCCACTCCCGAGGGTATAGGAATCAGGTTTTAAAGCAAGGGCGTAGCACCAGTCAGTTGAATGCACTAGTGTGAAAACATGCCCATCCCAAGGCCCGTCCAAAGACTGCTCAAAACGAGCCAAACCAGAACCAGCCAAAACAACACAGAGCATGTCGCAGACACAGCCAGCCAAGTCAAATCATTTTCTCTTCTGTTGTGGATATGGCCACTTCTGCTGCAGAGGCTGCAGAAGAACAGACTTAGGCGGCCTGCACACAAAACTAATGTTCGGGTACCGTCAAGCAAGGGGCGTGTGTCCTGAGTCCTGATTTGGTTCTTCGACAAAAAAGTCAGAACAAACTTGAGGTTTGCGTTTGGGGACGTTCCGGGCTAAAGGGCCCTCTCATAGTTTCATCCCATTTTGGGTCATGTGCGTTGCCCACCATAAGCTTGTGACACCTTGGCTGCGGTTTGGCCCATTGAAACGCATGATTCACTCTGGAACAAATCAGTCCATGCCGTGTGCTTCAATTGGAACATGTCATCAAATGCGTACAAGCAAAATTTGCGGTTTGGTTACAGACGTTCTTGGCCGACCTTTAGCGTCTTCCCGCACAAAACCATGAGAGGCTCCAAAACGTTCAGAAGTACGGCCTTCAGAAACTGTCTGCGAAAGGCATGAGGCCCGAAAACCAAAAAACGCTCAAAAGCGGTTTGGGAAAGGTCCGTAACTTTCAGAACTGAGTGGGGAGAGGATCGGCAGAACTCAGAAACACTCTGGAGCGGCTGGGAGAGGTCCGAAAACAGAAACGGCTGGGACAAGCCCAGAACAAATTTTGAAAACACTGAGAACAGGTCTGGTCTG